CTCAAGAAATAAGAGCCATGACACAGATAGATATATGCATACCCATGTTCACTGCAGCACTGTTCACAATAGCAAAAAGATGGCGACAACCTAAATGCTTATCAATGGAAAATAGATAAACAAACTTTGGTATATACACACAAGGGAGTACTACACAACACTGAAGAATAATGTTGAATCTGTGAAACACCCATAACATGGATGAACCTGGAGAATATTACGCTGAGTGAAATTAGTCAATTACAAAAGGATAAATACTATATGAGACCACTATTATAAAATCTCAAGAAAAGGTTTTCATGCTAAAGGAAACATTCTTTGATAGTTATCAGGGATGGGAGAAAAAGGAGAGTAATTCACTGGCTAGAGAGTTATTGTTGTTAAATGACATTAAGTCAGTTCTGACCCATAGTGACCCTATATAGGGTTATGAAGATCAGCTGGTGAGCTAGAACCACCAACTTTGCAGTTCAAACTGCTTTGCAGTCTGGCTCATTAACCCACAGCACCACACCAGGACTCCAGCTAGAGAGTAGACACGTGTTAATTTTGGTGACAGGGGCAATAACAAGAGGCAGGTTGGCAGAAGAATGATGAAGACAGGTAACAACATGGAGGAACACAGGGTTAAAATAGAAGTAAATGCAAAGGAATAGAGAACTAAATACTGTTATATAAACAACCCTGCAGTGATAGTGTTCTGTGGGTAGATACATGGACAGATACACAGGCTGAATAGGTATGGGAGGGAGATTGGGAATATAGCCAGTGTACCCACAAATATATAAGAGTTAGACAGAGGTTATATGTATGTGGCTATCCTACATGACACAGTAGGCTAAGCACTAGACCACATGGTCGGTTTGAACTGTAAAGTAGGTGGTTCAAACCCACCAGCTGTTTCTCGGAAAACCATATACAGGGTCTCTATGAATCAGGAGCTCTGGTAGCGCAGTTGTTATAAATCAGGCTGCGAGCCGCAAGGTCAGCAGTTTGAAACTACCAGCTGTTCCACAGGAGAAAGATGAGGCTTTCTGCTCCCGTAAAGATTTACAGCCTCGGAAACCCTGTGTAGGGTCACTATGAGTCGGAACCGACTCCAGGGCACAAAA